AAATGGCAAAATTGACAGAGAAGTACAACATACTGAATTCACATATTGATCTAGATTTTTGATTTTTAAGGGGGCAGGTCCCTCTTGTTAGTGAAAGATGGTGTGGTAAAAGGAAAGCAAGGGAGATGGGGGATGTGTGGGTAGAGGATGTGTTGGGAATCTATTAGTTTAAAATATATTTAAGTTTTTGTTTTTATTCTTGTTCCAACATGGAATCTGGGTTCATGCGGGTAAAATAAAGAGTCAAAGCAGTTATCAAGTCAAAGAAATGATTGCTAAGGAATTTTTGGCTTGGATTCATTAGAGTGGTTGGTTTTCAGGCTAAAATTCACCAAAGAAAGACCATCGTGAGCTGTGTTTTGTGAGTTATAAAGGTTTCATGGAACTAGCATTTAGCCTGTCAGGATGAAGTAAAGGTTTTAATTCTGACTGAATCTTTTCACCCATTTCAGCTTCCAACTTTTATGAGCAATATTCTCTACTCCCTGGTCAGTTAAATAAAGCTGTAAGTCAGTATGAAGAGTATAGTTCAATTATCCTGGTCCCTGCTGAAAGCTCTTTCCGGAAAGCTAGAAGAGCATGTTTTTCCAGGTGGTATGGAGATACTCTTTGAGGTGCCATGTGGTTGTTAGGATGATTCTCAGAGGGAAAACATTTGCTAGAAAGAGAGCATAGATGGGGATGAGAAATCAAACAGATTCTCTTGGATGTCAGTGTAGAACTTTAAGGTTTTGTGATTTTTAGCTCTGCTTCTGGCACCAAGACCTATAAATAGATGAAGGGGGAGCGGAAAAACCTTCGAAACTGAGGAGGGAATAGCCCTCTGTTTTCTCACTTTGGCCTCCAAGTTCCCTTGGCTCTCCTGCTGTATTTTCTCCACCTCCTCCCCGAAGTATTTAGAATTTCTCTCCATTCTGAGTATGTGTGTTCTTCCAGATGTGCATACCTACCACATTTCCCACAGCTGAACTGTAAAAGGGATGTTTTGTCCTGTAAGAATTTTGGTATAATATTTATTGCCAGACTAATTTAAATTCACGCAGAAAGGGCTTGTTGCTATGAATAGTAAAATAACCTATTATGAGAATTCTATTCTCCTTTAAAATGGAAATGTATCTCATGGCTAAAGAATCAGCCTAATACCTTGGCGTTTAAAAATATATTAACTCCTAAGAATTCTAATTTCTCGTGCCTGTCATTTAATTTTAGTCTTAACAGCATCGCAGTTCGTAGTTGGGGGGAGGGATCATTTCAATGACTGCCATCATCGCAGTTTAGAAGAGATGTTCTGATTTTGAATCTAATTTACATTCCAGCATCTTTTGAACTTACTGGATGCCTCTAGATTTACTGGCACATACAGCTGCTTAAAAATAGGCCCTGTCATCTAATGCTGTGTAATTATAATTTAGAACAGCACTGCACAATCTAAAAAATTGTTTTATTGAGTCAGTTTTATCTTTAACCTCCTCCTCTGTGGCTGTGGTCAGCATCAGACCCTCAAAGTAATGCCCATCTTAGCATCCCAGCAAGGATAAAAAAGTGAATCCAAGAACTGTTTCCCTCCCAGTGTCCTCAAAACACCAGACATAACCCCTGAAGTTTTTTTCTTTTTTCCTCGAATAGATATGACATGTATAAAAATTGTTGAGTGTGACACAAAGGAAGCAACATCTGGCAACTTCACCTCCTGCTCTCCACTAAAAGAAAATCATTTGCTCAGTGCGAGGCCCTATAGTGAGTGATGCCTGAGGAGGAAAGTTTCTCATTGAAGTTTGTAATCTCTCCCAGCGCTGATAATGTGATTTTGTGAAACAGTGCATTGAGAACACATGGTTACCTGGGTTTTCAGGATCTGACAAAAATACCTTTAAGAGCAAACCCTGCAAATTCTGCCCCAGTTCACAAAAATAGAGTAAACCCACGGCAGGGGCTTTGTCCCTTCCACCGGCAGCCGCCTTCATCTGTGACTTGTGTTAACCTATCCTCAGGCTTTCATGCCCCCTTGCTCCTTGCTGCCACCACCTAGAAGAAACTTCAAAGAATCTGTTAACTGATTCAGATTGTTTATATACCTTGGTTCAGTGCTACCGAAAGGCATGTTTACCTATTAAAGGGATTGTCTGTATCAAGCAAACTGCATAGGGAACGGCGGTTGTAGGTGTGGGAAGGTTTTGACAAGCAGTCAGATTTAGTCAGTCAGTGTGAGGGTGAGGTCCAAACCCAGTGAGGTCTTCTCCTACTCCCTGGGAAGGTGGGTCAGCCTCCTGGTGCTGACTCTCAGGGTTTGGAGTGTGGAAGGAAATCTTACCCCTACTCTGAGACTTGTCATGCCTAAGCCAGACAGGTCTGCAAGCAGCCACTTCTCTCTGGCTCTCCCTGCCCAACCCAGCTGCCACCTTCTTACCCACAGCACAGGCACCGTCAACAAGCTGTGTGTGTGTGTGTGTGTGTGTGTGTGTGTGTGTGTGTTTGTTTTCTGATTCATTGTTTGAAATCTGATTCATATTTGTTAGAGCTTTCTTTTAAAATTAGTACTTCCTTACCCTATGTGATATCATTTTGGACAAATAACTAGGTCACTAGGATATATCTCCTTTACTAACCACTTTATTAAAAATAAAATATTAGTAATAAATAATATAATAAGTAAAAGAATAGTTTTACTTATACAAACATACAGAGGATGATTTAATCATAAAAATAATAAATTGGTAATATTGCTGATGACCAGTATTACTTCACTTAGGTCATTGTATGTTTTATTTATACCTCTTAGAGATAAATACATTTGCATTTCCCAGGAATTTTTTTAGTAAGTTAGCTACCTATTGAAATCAGTGATCAGAGATAACAATAGGAATTTATAAAGCCCCTCCTGAATGTCAGAGACTCACTGATGATCCAAGAAGCCAATCCCAGAAGAGGAGAATCAGCCATGGTCCTTCACTGGGGTCAGGGCCTATCCTATAGCAATCCAGCATGCTCCTTTTCTAATAGTTCATAATGTAATTTATTCTGGAATTAAATTATAGACCATTTTGAGTTAAGATATTGAAGCATAAAAACATACAAGCATAACCTTAGACAAATTTTCCGAGTTTAATGACACATATCAAAGGAGAGCCCTTTGAATACTTTTCCCCACTTTTCCAGTTGTATACGCTACAATGTAATTTACAGTTTTCTTGATGAATACTCCATATTTGAAAAGAGCAGATAAGTCTTAATGTCTTAATGTCCCTTAAATATACTGTAATTTTTTTTACTTTTATATCTTTCCATGCTAAGTCCATTGCCTCATGAGTGCAATGATCATCTACTTTGTTTACCTTTGAATATCCAGCTTAAAACAACCGTTCCTCCTGCCTAACAGTGCTTAGTAGTCACCGAATGAATTATCCTTTTTGGAAACTTCCCTTGCCTCCCTAGCCAAAGCTTTCTTCAGGTTCAGTTCAAACCGTATGCCCTCTGAAAGACCCTCCCTTATGTGGATATTCTGGTTACCATGGTAGATTACTAAGGTAGTACTTGGGCAACTAGGTTGCATACTTTTTAGAAACTTTTGCCTTAAATATATTTTCTTTACATTCTGTGGCTCCTTTATTTGTGTTCTACTCCTGTCATTCATCCCCTAACCCCAAATACCTTTAACACATTAGAATGTATGTGTAAGTATTCAGTTAGCTCATGTAAATAGATGAGCAGTTAATTAAGCTTTCTATTCATTCATTCAACATTCACGGAGTTCCTGCTTAGTTCCTGGTATCCTTCTGGGAATGGCCAGTACAGCATTGGGTGACAAATATCCTGTGCTCTTGGAGCTTATTATTTCCTAGCAAAAGACAACCAAGCAAACAAATAAATGAGGAATACAGGAATATTGGGTATTAGTGCCCTGACAAGAGTATGTGCAAGAGTGTGATGAGAGCCAAAACATTAGAGTAAAATGAAAATGAAATAAACAGTTGGTTATGGCCTCTTTGAAGAGTTGACCTAACACCTGAGTGATAGGAAGCACTTACAGAAAGATTTGAAAGAGGAGACTTTGAAATGGTATTGGACAGGAATGAACTTGAGATGTTGGTTTGAGGGTAGTAATGAAGAGGATGTCTGTTTAGAACATTAGGTGTCTGAGATGCTGCTAGGTAGAGAGATACAGCCAAAGAAGGTGTCCTGTATTTGGTGGTGGTGGCGGGAAGAGAAGGAAATGGGGACAAATGTAAAAATTAGCATGTGGCACTCATAGCACACGACTGGAGAAGATGAGTATGTACTGGGACAGTGTAGCCATGGAAAATATAGTAAGCCAGGGAGTAACTGGGTATGTATGTGGTTAAGCATAGAGTCTCCTTGAAATTCTCTCCCCTTCTCCCTCTGCCCCTCATGGTTGTACTCTCTCTCAAATAAATAAAATCTCTCTCTCTAAATTAAATGAATAAAATCTTTAAAAAATGTTGAAAAACTAAAGCAGGCTAGGTAAAACCACATGAATTTGCTGATTTTTGGCCAGTTTTGACCCACAAAAATACCATTTTTCTGTGGCCCAAACTTATAAAAATACATATACATAAAATAGCTTAGAATACACAAATTGGAATTGAACTTATAGATATTTTCAGTTTTCTCCTTTTTTTCTATGATTTTTGAGATGCTTTTACAGAATTTTAAAACAAACATAGGAGAAGTATTAAGCACCTCTTAAATTGAAAATTGCCCATTTCAGCTTAACCTTTAGGTCAAGTTATAATAATTGCTGAACAGAACAGACAAAGACAGAATCAGATATGTATAATTACTCGAGTTTTATTCGAGCCTTCCTATTCTGTTCTAAAAGATTAAAACATCTACATACTTCAAGATCCCTTAAGATCTTGTTTCTTAGTGACTCGGACACACACAAAAAAAAAACAAATTTAAAATGAATCCATGTGTTTCATAAGATTTATCGTTAAGAATGTGTCTGTTGGCTTAAATGTTTATATTTTCTTCCATTCCAGGCTTATTTATATTTATTTTCCACTGCGCTATGAAGGAGAATGTTCAGAAACAGTGGAGGCGGCATCTCTGCTGCGGGAGACTTCGGTTAGCAGATAACTCAGGTAAAGGGGCACGTTGGTCAGTGTTTTTTATTCCTAAGAGGAGAGTAGTCAGAAACCTTCGTCATCTGGCCTTCCGTTGTTAGAGCAATGCAGTCCCAGTGGTAGCACCGTGTAAAGGTGGTGCCCGTGGAGATGCTTAGTTGGAATCTTGGAATACGAGGACTGCAAGCTATCTGAGGAGTTTGGGCCTGACCCTTCTATTCCACAGAGAAGCATGAATTCCAGCCAGGTGAACTGCGTTGTTCAAGGTTTTGTGTCCAATGTGACCACTCAGGTATCCAGAGGTTCCACCATACCACCTGCTCCTTTCCATGTTTTCGAGGCCCTCGATCACATTATTATGCAAAGACATTTTTCTTAGTATGAAAAAATACTTGAAGAATAGCATTACTTTTTGTTGGCAGTAATTACCTCTCACCCTTACAAAATGGAAGTAGGATTTTAAGCAATACGTGCTACAGGTCAAAGTTTGAAGCTTACTTCTTCAGTTTATTGTTGTTCATATGCAAGTCTCTTCGCTGAGCCCTTTGCTAGCATATACAAAATTGAGTGCTTTGGCTAAATTACCTAAATAATGCAGTGGTGATTCTTCATAGTAGAACATATGCCCCCTAAAACACATTCATGGAGAGATGTGCTTTCTTTCAGACTGGAGCAAGACAGCCACCAATATCATTAAGAAAAGTTCTGATAACCTAGGAAAATCTTTGTCCTCAAGCTCCATTGGGTCCAACTCAACCTACCTTACATCCAAATCTAAATCCAGCTCTACTACTTACTTCAAAAGGAATAGCCACACTGGTGAGTCACTCTAACAGCGGTAAAGATGTTCTCTGGTCCATTTCTCACCATCTTTATATTACAATTGGCATATCATGAAGAGTGATAGAAAACAGTGTCCTTTAGGGTTCTTATGTTAGATTTATGAAAATCACAATCTCTTTGAAGACTTTATCCAACACTTTTGTGGACGTTTATGTCTTTCTTTAAGTTTTTTAAATTTTTTAAGTTTTATAACCAAAATTGAGCCATAATATTATTAGCTCTGAGTATTATTATTATTTCATTTGCTTTAAACCTGTTTTCTTTTCAAAAATACTGTATTTTAAAAGTTATGTTTTTATTTTAAAAATACAGAAACTGAGTTGCAATTATTCATAATACTGCGTATTTCATGTTTTATAACTTATTATGCAAGTTAATTGGCAAGTTGACATGGGAACAGGTGGAAACACTATACAGGGTATATTACATTTAAGGCTTAAGTCCTTAACCATTGGAAGTGTTATTGCCAATCGCTGATTAAATATGACAGAATAGAGAGCATCATATTTGGCAAGTGATACAGGATGATGAGAAACATCATGTCTTTGTTCATCTTCTGGACTGTCATGATATTTACAGTGACCACAGGTTCTGACACTAAACATGTGTGTGAATAATCCTGAAGACAATGTAGAAATAAAGATTCTTTTGCCGTACTTGATAGCCAGTGAGTGGTGTGGAAAGTTGCAATCTTTTAATAATTTCAAAGGAAAAAAGCATAGTTGCTATTTTGAAATACTAATTATGTTTCAGGCAAACAGCTGTCAACACTTAGCACCAGCACTTTCCTAATTAAAGATCTTCTAAAAGGATAATGGAAATAACTTAATTTTGAATTTATTTAGTTATTAAACATAAGCAGAGGTGAATGACACCGAAGAGATTCATATTTGACTTTTTGCAAATAAGAAGCATGTTGTGTAATGTATCTGTAAATGTTCATATTGCAAACACTTAGATTTCAGATGACCCTTATGTGCATTTGAATCATTTTACATGTCCCTGCTTACACCACAGTCCGTAATTTGCCACTGGAATGGCCACTGCCTCAGATTCAAGAGAGCTCGATGGAAAAATGTTTGAGCATTCGGAGAGTTTGTTAATTACAAAATTAATTAAAGACCTGAAAATTTAGAGCAGCTTAGGATAGCAGTTCTAAAAATTTCTTGTAGTAGAGGACACTCACAAGAACCATATGAAAGCTGTGGACTCCCTTCCAGTATAAGATGCAACCTCTGAGTCCTGTACACAAATAATTCTGCCTAAAATTAAGAGGTCTGTGCATCTCTTCTTTAAATACCTGAGTAAGAAAATTGATGACAGGTGTATAGTCTGAGATAGATTATCCTACCTAGTTGGTAGTTCCCTGGCACAAAATATCTTTTACTTATAATGAATGAATTTTTCACATTATTTATAAAATTAGATGTTTGTATGATCATCTCCATAGATGCAAAAAAAGCATCCAACAAAGTACAATATTCATTCATGGTAAAAACAAAGTAGGATTTAGAAGGAACATACTTCAGCATAATAAAGCCATATATGAAAAACTCACAGGTAACATCATACTCAGTGGTGAAAACTGAGAGCTTTTCCTCTAAGATCAGGAACAAGACAAGGATGTCCACTCTCACCACTTTTATTCAACATAGTTTTGGAAGACCTAGCCATAGCAGTCAGATAAGAAAAAGAAAAAGGATCCACATTGGGAAGGAAGAAGTAAAATATTCACTATTTGCAGAGGGCATGATATTATATTCAGAAAACCCTAAAGATTCTCCATAAGACTATTAGAAATGATAAAGGAATTTCAGTAATGTTGTACGATACAACACTAATATATTAGAATCTGTTGAATTTCTATACACAAGTAATGAGGTGGCAAAAAGAGAAATTAAAGCAATCCCATTTATAAGAAAAAAAATTACTCATTTTGCCTGCCCTTCTAAAATGCAAATAGTGCATTGTACATCAGTTATGAAGGAATGGGGATTAGACCAACTAAATTGTTTTCCTCTTAATACAGCTGAGAATAGCTAGCCAGAAAAATGCCACTATTAAAAGGGGAGAAAAGATAACAAGGTAGATCATTTGGAACAAGGGGCATTTTGGAAGTCTTAATGAAATATTTAGGCATATTAAGAATTGTGGGGAAAATCGACCAAAAGATAAAAGGAAATACAGAAATGGAGGTGCCAAAGAAAAACTTTGCTATTTCAAAGTGTTGTGCATGTTTTTGTTTTTGTTTTTAAAGAAATGCATTATTGTTTTTCTGTTTCCCATAACAAAAACCTTGGGGTTAAATGAGTTCTTGTCAACTAGCATAAGTCAGCTATATGACATTACTTCTATGACATAATAACTTAAGGTTTCCTTTCAACTGATATACCAATGGCCTTTAGCTACCTAGCCAGTTCTCAGTGTGACTGCTGGTGTACTGGGTCCCTTAGAGTATACAGAAAGTCACTGCGTATCATCTTGGATATCTAGTTGGTTTATTTCTTGAAATTGATCTAGAAATTCATATGTTTATGGTGTAGATAATGTCTTCTAAGAGCATTCCTTCAGCAAAAGTGGATCATTCAGGTAAACATTTATTACTTTTTTGAATGCATGAATTTTTGCAAGGTAATAAAAGAATATTTGCATGGATTAAACTAAGATTCTTGCCACACCAGCAAAATTGCTTGTTCTTTACAATACTCAGCTAGCACAATGACATTCCTTCATTGAGCTGGAATTTCTGGAATTTCGAATTGGTGTGTGCTGTGCTAGTTCTTCTCTGCATGGGGGTGCCTGCAAGCTTCTCCTTCTAGGAAATGTACCATGCTCTAGAGTTAATGGGTCATGTAGCAGGTAAAATAATGAAGAGAAAGTAATACTTGAGAAGTTTGTTATAGAAAAGAGTAAAATTCTTTACTTTTCCACTGCTCTTATGAATTACTGGCTATGTCATGGTACATTCATAGAAGTCATAATGGAGAAATTGTCAACTCCAAGCCTGCTTTTTGAAGATTTTTACCTGCTTGATATTTCAGCATAGGTCAAGTAATAGTTCATTTCCCTAGCCCCTGGTTTTCAAACTTGCAGCTATAACCAAAATCTCTATTGTTAATGATGTAATGTCTAACCAGAGGACTGGGAATAGCATACATGTTGAAATACAGCCCTTGCTCACAATTCTACTTTATTGACTATAAGACCCAGAAAATTGGATCACATATTTGGAAAGGAGCTGGTCAAAAATATCTCAAAGGCCCATGCTCCTGGAAGTTGTCAGTGAAGCAGAATGAGTGTATCCTTGAAGCTTCTTTGAGGATGTGTGGTTTTTCTAAAAACATCAAGCACAAATTATTTGTTACTGGTGTTTAAATTAATAGAAAAATCCGCAGTAGAAAACCAATGGCTAGTGACTATATGAACTGAAGGAAGCACAGGATCAATCAGCTTGCTGAGAGCTAAACGGGGAGGGGCCTTTCTACAATGACTTCCTAAGCCTTTCCTCACCAGTCCTGGGATGTAATCATTCTGCCATGCTTCAACCTGCCATTCTTCCCATGAGCCATCTGTTCTTTTTTTCTTCCTTTAGTATGGGGTGGACACACCATTTCCTCTTTTAGCCTTCATTTTATTTAGTGTCTCCTTCCACACAAGACAGCAGTTGAACAATTTGAGTCATTTCCAAAGACAACAGATGGAGCAATGATGGCTTTTACCAATTACTGATGGATTTTTCATGTTATGTCACATGTTGGGGCAACTTACACAAAGCAGAAAAATGGCCGCAATGAACATTCCAAATTTGGAGCCATGATTCCTAGAAGGAATTTTTCATGATAGAGTTTTTGCCTTTTCCACAGTTAATAGAGAATATACAATGTAGGGAATGGAATACTTCATCAAAGCTCACATTTTCTCCTTCATTGGTGTGAGATCCCTGTGGTTAATTTTAAGTTAGAATTTTTCTCCAAAGTGTGTTGGTGAGGGGAAAAGAGCTGATACTTACAAAATATTCATAGGGTACATAAAGACAGCCATATGAATTTGTAGATAATAGGGCTTACGTGAGTTTTAGACTACTGTCTGAACCAATTTTAGAAAAGTTTTGGCTCTAGGGAGATAATACTTAACTATATGGTATTGAGCATTGAATCACTAAATTTCACACCTGAAACTAATATCACACTGTGTGTTAACTAACTGGAATTGAAATTAAAACTAATAAATAAGTAAATAAACAAATAAATAATATTGGGAAATTCGGAACAGAAATGTATTTAGCAGTCCTCTGTCACCATCAATTGCTCTGATATTATTGCCATCAACAATAACATCATTCTGAGAAAGTAGCATAGATAATAAAAACACATACGTAAATATTTCTGATAATTTTGATTTCTATAATTCAGAAATAATTAAGAAAAGATTACTTTTTTATTCCAATCATTTTTTATAAGTTAAAAACTATGGAGAAATGTGTTTAAAATACCCTTTTATGTTCATTTTCATTCACTTTATTCTTCAACATAGTTTAGATTATGTTTCATAAAAGTTTTTATTATGGAATGTGGTAAACGTATATAAAAAGTAGAGAGGATAGTGTAATGTACCTATCAGTTTATGGTCACCTACCCATTTCCCCCACCCTGTATTATTCTGAAATCTTATCTTAGACATCAGACATTTCTTTCATAGATGTTTTGGCCTCTTTTAATTTATTTGCTATATAATCTGTCCCTGCTTCTTTTGAGTTACCTGCCACATTTTATTTTTGTGGCAATTTTCTGATTATTCTATTCCTTGACCCTTTGAAAAATGCCACTTTACAGGAACATTTCTTGAAACAAATTCCAACATACATTACTAGGAGGCAAATTAATATTTAATCATGCATAGAAATTGAAGATGAGAAGCATGAAATGTTAGTGCTGCCTATTACCTAACCTAAGAAAGAACAGGCCTTCATTTCATTTGTGTACTTGAATGTGCAAAATAATGTCCATTTTGGTGGCCCTTAGGCACGTCACCTCATCTCACAGTCTAATTTCTGGTATCATTTCTTGCAGACAACGCTTCCACGGACAAATCCTTGTCAAAATTGACCCGTGCTGATGGAGAACAAACGTCAATCATCCCTGTCCACCAGGTCATTGATAAGGTCAAGGGTTACTGCAATGCTCATTCAGATAACTTCTATAAAAATATTATCATGTCAGACAACTTCAGCCACAGCACAAAGTTTTAATGTTGTTAGTATGCCAGAGAAGAATCCATCTACGTGACATGAAGCTCTGCAGCAGTGAAAACCGTGACAAGCACACAGGAACGTGCTGTGACCTTGGTAACTGGATATACGTGTATGAGGAATGTACTTTGTTAAGAAGGCTTTTATGAAATTTAAAATATCTGTCTTTTCAGTGCATTTCTTCCATGGGAGCGTTTTGATCATCACTAAAACTTTAGTACTGAGAGCAACATGACCCAGTAGCTGCAGGGGATATGATTTTTTTTAAATCTGTAATTGGATTGGACTAATTAGGACTCAGGGAGGTGGGGGACATTAAAGTCAGTGGACAAGGGAGGGGCAGAGCAAGGGGCAAGCATAGCTCAGAGCTCATTCACGCCCCACTATTAGGGTTTAGATATGGCCATTGCTACATCATCTTTCTCAACAATGAAAAGCATAGGAATATTCATAACTATTTGGATGCCCGCAAGTCCCTTCTCAGTGCTAGTGTCTATGAATGCGGTAGCATTTCTTCACTTTCCATAAATTTTCAACCACAGATACAAAAGAGTGCTTAGTATCTGACCCAAGGATTAGAAAGGAATTCCTTCTTTTTATACCAAATGTTTCACCTTCAGAACATTAATATGCTTGAGAAAGAATTTCCAAAATTTTGACTCTGTTAATACGAGGCCTTGTAAATTTCTACTATTTCACTTACCATACTCAAGACATAAGGTTTAAGCATCATCATAAATTAGAATTTAATCCCATACATTTGAATGAAGTATAATGTTGAGATTATATTAAAGTGGACTTCCAACTACCTGCTGAGAATGAATCCATTAGACCTCTGGTTTTGCTCCTCTACTATCTGTTGAGCCTATAAACTCATGGGAGGAAGGAGGATTTCCTTTAGACATACTGTGTATAATAGTCTCTCCCTTTTAGAAAATACAGTCCTTGAGACTCTGTGGTCCTGTCCTTGCTCTAGAGACTTTAAGACATTTCCATTTGCACAATTGGAAATCCTCTTTACTTCCTTTTCAAGTGTTTTGTTCCAAAGAATATAAACTGAGACATATGGGTGACTTGTTTTAGTCAAAATACTTTATAAACATGTGGGTCTGCATTTGTTAGTCTAAAAACCATTTGTACATGAGCCCTCTGATTATAAGAGCCAGAGAAGGTCTGGCAAGATAGATAAATAAATTAGGTTTCTGTGTACAAGTCATGCATATTAAGTAGTTTACCTAAATTTCAAACTACCCTAAGTGACCTGCTTCCTAGTGAATGTGTTAGAGAGGACTTTTAAATTACTCTTAAATGATGGAGTTGTATCTAGGTCTTTAGAAATTGGTCTCAGTACATGTTGTACTTTTATATTTGCTCTGGGTTATCCGGGAAGTATCAGGTTCTGGGAGACATTAGCCTGCGTGATGAGGAGACAAGACCTTCTGGTAGTGCCAGTCTGCTTGAAGACAAAAGCTAGAACTGAGCATCTGGGGGCCTTTCTGTGCAAAAACCAGGTAGCTCTCAGTCTGAGACCCAGGAGAGGTTTCAGGCTATGCAGCATCCGGGGACCTCTCACCTTTTGCTGATCTTCAGTCATAAAGCCATTTGCCAGACTTAAATGGGTGTTAAGGTAATATGGTGGTGGGATTTTGTTACCATTTCATTTTGCAGCAGCCTGGCCCAGGCCTGGGAGACATGAGCTTGACTTTCACAGGGGAGGAGTATATATAGTAGGAAAGGATAATAAGCCTCTAAGTCACTAAGATTCACTGAAGTAGAGCCAAATCCTTTGCTATAGGTGTATTGTTAAAAGACTGCTTATTCTGGCAGAGGTTACATGTAGATAAGAATTAGTCTTAAATCATCACTGAATCTTCATATACTTTCCCCCAAGCCTTAGAGATTCACGAGAGAATTTCATTATTTTTCTACTGTGAGATTTCTACCCAAAGTGCATAATTAGTTGATAGTATTTAAGAGATAACTTCCAAAATGGCTTTCATTTCTACTCCTGTTCATTCAGACCAGGGAAAACATTTTCTTTTTTTCATCATTGACAACAGTGTCAACTCCACTTTCAAAATTTCCATCAATCAGGTAAGGAGAAATGAAGAAACAGTTGAATAAAAACATTTGCAGATGGATTTAAAAGACTGAGCCAAATTCTACCCTCAGTTCCAAGCATGGGCTTCTCTCCTTCATTGTGTTCCCTCAGAGAAGAATTGCAGGAATTTAGCTGTAGAGCCAAAATTTAGTTTAGCCTAACCTTGGGAGTAATACCAATTCATATTCCCTGGTGTTTCTTTTTTTTCTTCCTTTTCATCTTTTTAAACTACATTATGTTAGTCTTAGTCTAGGGTTCTGAGACACTTTGTCTTCTTACCATTGTTCCTTGCATTGTGAAGCTTTTCTTTATCCATTGTTGGCATAGACTCTTTTGTACATATTTATTTATTTGTGTTTATAAGTGCCAGCTTGTTTCATATCTTAGCTTTATATTGCCTGGATTTGTTATTTTAATTAACTTTCTATTGGAGAGACTGTATATATTTTTTCCTAAATACTTTGTGAAATAGTTTCTGTAGTAATATCTTTGAATATGATGAATAAAAGTGACTGTGAGTGCACCTTAGAATTAGTAGTAAGAAGTTACTGTAACTGATTTGTCATTTTACTTAAATGGAAAATGTTTTTCAAATAAATACTTATGTTGTTCGTGTTCCAAATTATTCAATTCCTTTATGAGTGAGTGTTTTTATTTCTGACTCCTAAATAGGAAAAGATCACTGGACAACTGGAAAATAACCTGCCACCAATTAAGCTGGTGACATGGCGTTACTTTGCCCAAACACTAAGAATGAATATATTATGAAGATCCAGCTCACCGGGGATTAATGCATTTTGAAGTTCTTGGATTTTCTTAAGATGACCAAGCCAAGCCCTACGGAAGTTTAGAAGTAATATAGGTTCCTTTTTGAGGATATCTTCAGCATCTCAAAAAGAGAACCAAGTCAGTAATATAACATGGAGTTAGGTCTTGAGATGTTTTCTCATATTTATAGCTGCTGTTTTCATTGTGGAAAGCTTAGAAAATGACAGAATTTAGCCAGCTTACTTGCATGATTAGAACAGAACCTCCCCACATCCCTTTTCTGTGGTTATTGAGGCTCTCTCTTCTGCAGAGAGCCAAGGCCAATTTGGCTCCCAGCCCTACTCAGTGCTAAACTGTGAGGCGTGTTGGCTGGTCACTGTGAAATCGGATCTTCCGAGCCAATGTTCACAACTCCCAGCCAAGCCATGTTAAGAAAACAGGCAAGCGGTTGCTCCAATTCATCTACACTCATACACAAGCAGGTTACTTCAGAAAGCCTGGGGAGTGGCTGGGGCGAGTGGATGGGAAACACTGATTTGATTTGCTGGCGGACCTGTGTTTGCAATCTTGTGAAATCTAGAGGAATTGGGCTTTACACATGCAGTGTTTGGGAAGCATTTCTGTGTTTGCAGTTGAATAACATTCTAATTTCTTTATATAAAGGCATTTAAGGCCTCTCTCCCTCCCTGCCTCCTGCCCACACCCTCCCTCCTTTCCTCCCTTCTGCTCTCCTCCTCTTCCTCCCACCCTTTCTTCTTCCTGACCTCCCTCTTCATTTTAAGGAAGAGTAAAGTAACGGTTTTCTTTTCCTGCCAACCTAGAGAAAAATGAGAACAAATGTGAAATATTCAAATGTTTGCTTTTATATTCTATAGCCTGTCAGAAACACAAAAATGGGGGCGGGGGATGACTTGTTTTATTACCACAGGCAGCCTCACACCAAACTGGGTAATTTGGACTTGAGAGGGAGGAAAAAAAAGATCAAATCTACAAACATACTTGGGTACAAGATACTTCTTTGCTCTCTCTCCTTATTTCTGGCAGAATTCTAGGAGGGGTTATTTTAATCTTCCTTCTGGGAGCATTGTTGATTGAAGTTGGTAAGTAACCTGTTGTGGCCGCAGAGGAAGTGAGAGTGGGTTCAAATGTAAATCCGTAGGTCTCTGTTCACTCTTCTACATTGGAGGGTCTCGAGGCCTTCCTCAAAGAACCGGCATCCTCGTGAAGGAAGGCATTCCAAGGATGGGATCCATGTCATAAGATACCAATGAGAGCTTCCAAAACATCAGACAGAAGCTCTGGGCCCACAGCAGATTAGTGACTGTGGGGTCTTCGAATTTCTGAGATTCTGATAGGCCTGTCCTGAGAGTAAGGAGAGTCGTTCCAGGCCTGGTGCTCAAGAAGTCCACAGCAGGAAGTGGAACACAGGTGAGGATGGCATGACTGTGGGGTGTGGAAGCAGAAGGAGGCCGAGTCCAGGTCACAGCTTAAGAGGGGGGCATGTGGCTGGGGCAGGCACAGGGGAGGCATACAGGTTACAGGCAGGGAAGGAGCAGAATCCTCACTGCAAGGAGACTTTAAGATGGTGACCACAGAATGATAATTAGAAGGCAGAGGTCTCGGACTAGAGGAATGAGGAAGCCTTTTGAGAAGTTGACAGAAGAGCGAGGCGATCCTAAGAATAGGGTCTGGGCTCACAGGTCTTGGGAGTGATGTCGTCTGCCACTAGGCTTCCCAAGGGGCGGCCAGCCCACATTACTAGGTAGATAGGTGCAAAGTCATTGTACTTAAAACAGTGATGAGCACCCTGTTTGCTCCAGATACCATGTGGTTAGAGGTGCTAAGAAACAAAGTAAGTCTTTCAAGAGAAAAAGAAGCTGTTTACGTCAAATGTGGCAAAGGGGGTCGGGGAGAAGAAATTGTGGTCTTGTTTAAAGAGTAGAGTTGACCCTCGAACAATTTGAGTTTGAACTACCCAGATCTACATATATGTGTGCTGTTTTTGATAAATACAATAAGTACTGCAAATTATTTCCCTTCCTTACAATTCTCTTAATAATGTTCTCTTTCCTTCCACTTACTTTATTGTAAGAATACATAGGAACATACACACTATGTATTCACCAGTTGTGTTATCTGTAAGGTCTGGTTAACAGGAGGCTATTAGCAGTTCAATTTGGGGGAGTCACAGCTTATACTGGCTTGTCAGATGCAGGGAGGTAGGTAACCCTAAGCCTGTGTTGCTCAAGACACCTTGAACAGAAAGCAAAGATGTCTTACGGAGTTTTGTTTCTTGTTTATGAATGGAATGTAAAGGCCTTTTTGAAGGCAAGAAAGGCAGCAGAACAGAGTGGATGCTATGCTCTCCGTGGAAGGTCTGGAGGTGAGGGAGTGGGAACTGTAGGGAGAG